CCTCTGAGTCTCACTGCGCATAGTCGGCTATCTATCGGGATCCAATCCAATAGACCAGCCTCGGCCCTGGGGCCGAAGGCAATACCAACGCCTGCTTGACCAGACGCTGAAGCTATATGGTCCCCGGATACTCGCAGTTGAAACGCTTCTTTTGGGTTGGAAGGAGACGTTAGAGTTCTTACGTTGAATGAAGCCAGTTTGAACGTGGAGTGAGTTCGGAGGAATTGAACGGACGGTCCCGAGACAGATGTCAAGGAGGATAGCGGCGAGCTACATCAGTGGAACCATTCGGGGTGGGTGAGAGTGTTGCGTGCAGATGTTGAGAGAAAGGTTTGCGGAGGTTTAATAATCTGTGACATGCGTGTATTTGTGTGTCCAAAATCCATGTTTAGCTTGTGGGCGTGGTACTACCCGGTTGCCCAGGCCGAGGTAGAGGGTTTTCTTGGGGGACCCTACCCGGAGCCTGATCCGCAAGGCAGTGGGGTGGAGCAGGGAGTCCACGGTTCTCTGGGGGGTGGTGGGGTCAGTTCATACTCCTTTCGGATGCGGCCAACTATCCAGGGTACCCAGATTGCCCTTGAGCCTCGCACTTGCCGGTGGTCAACTCCAAGGATTAACTTTGGAGACCGGTTCGGTTGCGCCGAAGATTGGTGCCACTATGAGCTTCTTACGCCAGGTGTGGGTGGTTTGGAATCAGGGTTTAGTCAACTCCCCTAGACTGACTACCAGTGGTCAGTCAACCCGGTGGAAAGCGCCGGGCGTTCGCCTTTGCCCTCCCAATTTAGTGTTAACACCTCCGCCACGAGAAGGCAGTGGGTAGGACTTCCTCAGCAGAAGCTATTGGAGGCGCTTGGTCCTTTGGGAGCATTTCTAGAGGAGTTCGGGACGAATGGCCATTTCGGGCCCGAGGCACCCACTCCCGACCATACGGAGGCTTTGTAAAGACACCGTGATTGGGTTTATGTGGCTTCTAAACAGGAGCCAGGTGACCAGCCTGAAACCCACCACGCCCCGGTAGTGCCGCCGCTGTTTGTTCGCGACTGATTATTTGTTGCGGTATACCACAACTTATTCACAGCTGACCTTCGGCGAAGGTATCCCCCTATCCACAACCCGGGGACGCGCCTGGTAGCATTCAGTCATAACTAAGTGCTGATGGTGAGCGGGTAGTGCAAAGATAAAGTCTCTGACCACCTTCCCCATAGTTTTAATCCACTTCACGAAGTGATGCGAATTACCCCGTTCCATCTTTAGTTTTGGTAACGTTGATGATGAAAGTTGCTGTTTTGTATATATCCATTGTTGTTCGTTGCCTTTGGTTGTAGGTCCTCTTTATTGACGAAGTGCATATGCTCGATATTGAGTGTTTCTCGTTTCTGAATCGTGCCTTGGAATCGGATATGGCTCCCGTGTTAATCGTAGCCACCAATCGAGGGATCACAAGGTATGTGTCGTCTGACCCATTATTTCTGTCAGGTTTATTTAGCAGGATGATGTGCCTAGTCCAGAAATATTCTGTGCAATTTTTAATCGTATTGAACGCTCACACTGCGTCTGTGGCCTCCTATTATGATCATCACACTGGAGCATACACATAGTGGAATATCTTTTTGATTCAGAAATATATTAGAAACCGGACGGCTACTTTGCATGCTCAATTTGCCACTCACCATTGTCATTTCAGTTACGTCTTTAACCTTTATTCAAACTCATTTGCCTCTTTCTCCGTGCACCTTTAGGATTCACTTCTATTCATCACTCACAAAACCCTGCATCCAAAGTGCTTTCTGCAAAATTATTCTTTCTGCTCTCCCACATGAATTGCTGAACAAGGTCATTTAAACTATGGCTGTCATTGTCTAAGTTATGTTATTATACATCATTTGCAGAATACGTGGAACGAATTACAGCAGTCCACACGGGATTCCTATTGATTTATTGGATCGATTGCTGATTATTTCGACCACATCTTACACAGACAAAGAAATTCAAGCAATTTTAAAAATCCGTTGTGAGGAAGAAGATGTCGATATTTCAGAAGACGCACTCGTTGTCCTCACTCGAATAGGCATGCAAACCTCGTTGCGTTACGCTATTCAGTTGATCACCACTGCCAGTCTAGTTTGTCGGAAGCGAAAGGTGAGATTCAATTAGTAGGCGTATACATCCCTTGCCTAGGTTAATCACTAAGATATGAGTTCGATGCTGAGTGACTGATTTCCA